GCAGAGTATGGACCGGCGTCGACGAGGACGCCATCTGCCCCGCCGCTGGATTCCTCCGCCGAGATGCCTCCGCTGCTCGCCGACGTCGCCGATCCTGATGACGAGGACGTCGAGGAAGTCCCACTCCCTCCTCCTGTTGTGCCCTCGTCGGTCGCCGGCGATGAGGGGAGACTTGGTTCGACGCCTGCGGCGCCGACCGGTTGCATCACCAGTGGCCGACGTGACGCCAACAGGTCAGCGACGGGAAGCGGCAGACTACAGGGGAGCCGTCGACGCCGAGGAAGATCGCAGAGAAGCCGCCGGCAGAGGCGCCGACCGCAGCGAAGCCGCTGGCAGAGGCGCCGAAGCAGACTGCAGAGGAGCCATCGGCAGAGGCGCCAGTTTCAGGGGAGATGTTAGCAGAGAAGCCGATCATGGGGGAGCAGTCGGTAAAGGAGCTGCCGACAGGAGAGCAGTTCGACGACGACTCGTCGAGCGACGACGTTGTGGAAGTCGTCGGTGCGGCCGGCAGCGGTGAAGGGGAGCTGTCCGACGACAGCGACGTAGTAGAGGTCGCGGTCGAAAAAGTGCAGCCGCGACGGTCTGGCCGCCCCAACATCGGCAAGCCGCTGGAGAAGCTGAGCTTCCACGCTTGTCTGCCGCCGAAGGCCTACAGCACTCTGCTCGACGACGCAGAGGACGACGTCGATCTGCCCGAGCTCGACCCTGACATGCACGCCGACCCAGAGCATCGCTGGGACATCGCCAACATGACGGTAAAAGAGGCGTTGGCGAGCTGGAAAGGCAAGGCGGTGAAGGCCGCCATGGACGAGGAGATCAAGAGTCTCATCACTAGCGGGACGTGGGAGCTGGTCGAGCGTCCGCGCGGTGTCAACATCATGAGGAACCGCTGGGTGCTCACGACGAAGTACCACGTCGACGACACGGTCACCCGCGAGAAGGCCCGCTTGGTCGTGAAAGGCTTCACGCAGGTTTACGGCGCAGATTACGATGAGACGTACGCGCCGGTGGGGAGCTACGTAACTCTGCGGATTTTCCTGAGCATTGTAGCAGTCCTCGACCTGCACCTGATGCAGCTCGACATGAAGAATGCGTTTCTGCAGAGCAAGCTGGATCGTGTCCTCTACATGTACCAGCCCGACTACTTCAATGACGGAACTGGCCGAGTCTGCAAGCTGCTGAAGAGCTTGTACGGCCTGAAGCAGAGTCCACTACTGTGGTACTCGGCGCTCGATGCGGTACTGACTGGCGCCAAATGGCAGAAGAGCCAGGTCGATGAGGCGCTGTACTTCAAGGTCGGCGACGACGGAGTGGCATGCTGGGTGCTCGTCTACGTCGACGATCTGCTCGCTGCAAGTAGCAGCACTGCGATGCTGAAGGAGCTGAAGGAGCTGCTGGAGGCTGTTAAAGTTTAGAAGAAAGAGGATTGCACTAGCAAGAATGAGGATACAAATAGCAAACCCTAGAAGGGTTGTACTCGCTATAGAGCACCCCACTACAGGCTAGAGCATAAGATAACATTCTGACACACCCCCATAGCCAAAGTGGGGTGTAATCAGCAGAGTAAGCAAAGGAGTACAAGCTCAGGGTGGATCACAATGTCACCACACATTCTGAGCACAAGTTCAAGAAGCAATAGTTTAAGTTCACAATTATGAGCAAAGCTAGTGGTAGTCACAACGGGCAAGTGAGGAGGAGGAGAGAGAGTGAGAGGAGAGGAGATAGGAGGCGACGGCTGAAGCTGCAGACACACAGGCAACAGGAGGCAGACTGGCACAGCGGCTACCGGACGAAGTCCCCGGAATACAGGAGTAACAGGCCCCGCGGCTAAAGTAGCGGCAGACGAGCAACGGACCCACGGGCGGCTGGCACAGCTGGCTACGACTGGGCTACCGGACGAAGTCCCCGGAATACAGGTGCTGCTGGCGACACGACGGCAACCTCCATTCAGCTTCCCCAAACTATCCCACTCCCCCCTGGCACATACCCGCTGCTACACCGCTAGCTCCACTCCCCCTTCACCCCCCCTTAGTACCACTCCACCGGCTCCAACACGTCCACCCCCCCTCAGCGGCAGCTGCAGCACAGGGAGACGGAGGAGGAGGAGGAGCAGGGAACAGTACACAGTGGGTGCACCCCCATACCCCGCACCCCCAAACCCTAATACAGGAGAATGGGGAGTAGGAGGGGTGGGGCACGAGTAGAAGCGCTGGGGGACAGTAGGGAGGGCAGGGGCAGCAAGGAGCGGGCCCACCACGGGCCTGGTAGGGTCGCCCGAACCGCGCGTAGGCGGCCTGAGCCGCGCGCGGGCCTGGCGCCGCCCGTACGGGCCGCGCGCGGGCCTGGCGCAGCCCGTACGGGTCGCGCGCGGGCCTGGCGCAGCCCGTACGGGTCGCGCGCTGCCTGTACGGGCCGCGCGCAGGCCACGACGGGCGACGGGGGGCGACGAACGGGTCCCCGTCGCCCGTCGCGGCGCCTCCCGAGGGCGACGCGACGGTTGACGGGGCCGAAGCCCGCCGCGCGCCTCGGGGCGCACAGCGGGCAGAGAACCGCCGCGCGCCTCGGGGCGCACGGCGGGCAGAAAACCGCCGCGCGCCTCGGGGCGCACGGCGGGAAGAAAACCGCCGCGCGCCTCGGGGCGCACGGCGGGAAGAAAACTGCCACACGCCACGGGGCGTGCGGCACCGAGTGTAGTGGTAGGAGTTGCAGCGGAAGCTAGGAGGTGGTAAGCCCACCCACAGGATCGATCCAAGGGGATCGACCTGCTCTGATAGCATGTTAAAGTTTAGAAGAAAGAGGATTGCACTAGCAAGAATGAGGATACAAATAGCAAACCCTAGAAGGGTTGTACTCGCTATAGAGCACCCCACTACAGGCTAGAGCATAAGATAACATTCTGACAGAGGCCGCCTTCGAGCTGCGCGAAATCAAGCCGGTCGAGAAGTATCTCGGGCTGGAAATCGTGCGCGACCGTCCTGCGAGGAAGTTGTGGCTTCACCAGCAAGTCTACGTCGACAAGCTGCGTCGGCGTTTCATCGACGAGGAGCAGACCGGGCGAGTGCCGAAGACGCCGGTCTCCGTCGACGCCTACGCAGAGCTGGTGCTCGACGACGAGGAGTTTCAGTCGCGCGAGGAAGCAGAGTATCGGCAGAAGGTCGGCTCGCTGCAGTTCGCGGCCACCACGACAAGGCCCGACATTGCCTTCGCTTGCAGCAAGCTCGGATCGGGCCTGACAGTGCGGAGCGACAACCACTGACGTGAGGTCGATCGCTGTCTGCACTACCTCGCTGAAACTCGTGACGCCGCTCTGGAGTTCGGCGGCGGACCAGAGTCGCTGTGTCTAGTCGGCTATGCAGATGCCGACGACGCTGGCGACAAGCAGAATCGGACGAGCACGGGCGGCTACGTTTTCGTCTTCGGAGGAGCCGCAGTCTCCTGGGCGAGCCAGCGCATCAAGTGCGCGACGCTCTCGTCGACCGAATCAGAGTACGTCGCGGCGACTGAAGCCGGTAAGGAGGCTCGCCGTCTGCGCTTCCTCCTTGCAGAGTTCCGACTGCTAGACCCAAGAAAGCCGACTGTTCTGCACGTGGACAACCAGTCGGCGATCACTGTCGCAGAGGGCTTGGGGCTCAAGGGCAACCTCAAGCACATGGAGCGACGTTACGCCTGGCTGCAGCAGATGGTGAAGCGCGGGAAGATTGCTCTGCAGTACATCCCGACCTCCGAGCAGCCGGCAGATTTTCTGACGAAGGCGCTGCATTTTCCGGCTTTCAACCGGTGCTCCGTCGCAATCGGCCAAGAGCGTCTGGCCGACGTGGGCGACGGGGATAACGAGGTGCAGCAGTAGGTGCCGTGCCCTTTCTGCACGGCTGGTGCGGTGATCTACGTGCTATGTGTTCGGTGCACGTAGAAGGAATTTTCTCCTTGTATTCTATCCCTCTGGGTTCTGGGTGAACCTTGTGTGTGGGTGCCCAAGCATGAGCTGTGCAGGGGAGTGTCGAAGAGAAAAGGCCCCGCCCTCGCTTGGGCGAAGTCGACCATGCATTTCGAAACAAGACGGTGTTCGTTTCGTGGTCATCGGCGACTTCGGGGACTTTTGTCTGTGTGCGACGAGTCGTTGGTCGACGATATTAATTGGTCGAGGTAGAAGTATTCCCTCTGCGCGATCAAAGTCCTCGTCTAGAAGGAGCTCGTTGACGGGAGTAAAACGACGTCAAATACGAGCCTTTCCGATAGACGGAATTGGCAGAATTGGTGTTTCGACGGATTGCTGATCGACAGAATTTAGTTCGACGAGTGTTTCGTCGAGCAGATCGATTCTGGTTGACCAGAATTACTTTCCTTCAAAATTCGCAATGTGCGCGAATTTCGCCCAATCACGGAACAGCAAATTTCGACCAATCATGTAATTTCGGAAATTGTACTCCCCAGGAGAATTCGATTCAGTAAGGAAACTGAACCTGAAACACGTTTTTACTAACAGTAAAAACGTGCACAACTATGAACGTTGTAAACCTGAGCAACTACCAACTCAGGTGAAATATGCATGTGTTTGTCGTTTCACCTGCCGTTGCTGACTCGACAGATTCAAGTGATTGTCGAGGAACGTTTCTACAGGGTTCGTTGTCTTTGCTATTTGGTTCTCTTTGCTTGTACTATAATCTTGTTCTATCAACTTTTGCTAGTGGAACTATGCTTGAATTCTACCAAGGCAACTAAGGTCACTTCTGAGAATCACTGCCAGAACTCTGACTGTGTGTCCCACACTAGTCAAGCTCTCCCGTAGAATAGTATTCTCCGCAAGCGACACGAGCAGCCAAGTCGCTTCACCTTGATTTCTGCGTCCAGCCTCGCCACCACTTCGATCTCTGCTGCGCTTTTCTGTCCACCACGGCTGGACGTCTCACGCCCCGCCTGTGATTCTTTATCCAGCAGCTTTGTCAAAGCAGTAACGGCGTTCCAGCGTGAACGGCGTGGTACTGACAGTGACGAGGGAGGAGATGGCGGGAGGGATGGACGAGAGGGATGAGCGCGTGGCGGCGTTGGAGGCGAAGCTGAGGGATCAGGGCGACGCCATGGCCGCCTTGAAGCGAGAGATGGACGACATGCGCCGCGCCATGGCGGCGGAGGTGGCGTACGTGAAGGCGACAGCGGCGCACTCGGAGGCGCGCATCAACGACGTCGAGCTGGCGCTCGCCACAATCAAGGACGGCCGCGCGGAGAAGATGCGCGAGGAGCGCAACGAGGGCAGCGGCGGGAAGAGGCGGAAGAGGGACGAGTCGCCGGGGAAGGAGGGGCGCATGGCCGCTCCTGCTGCGGGCACTGAGCCTAAGCTAACTGTCGGAGGTAGTGCGGCCGAAGGAAAGGGGGATAAGGTGGAAAGCGAGAAGGCCACGGAAAGCGAGAATGCAGCAGAAAGCGAGAGCGAGGAGGAGTGGGGGGCGAATGGAGAGGAGGACTTCGACGTGGAGGCTGAGCTGCAGGAGTTGTGCTACCGCGTGGTGGCGCTGGAGGAGCGAACGGCGGTGGAGGAACTGAGGAAAGACGTTGGAGGCAAGACGTGGGAGGTGAGGCCCTTGCTGCGGCCCTTAGTTCCTGCTGCCCTTCCTGCTGCCCTTCCTGCTGCCCTTCCTGCTGCCCTTCCTGCTGCCCGTCCCGCAGCCCTTCCTGCTGCCCTTCCCGCTGCCCTTCCTGCTGCCCTTTCTGCTGCCCTTCCTGCTGCCCTTCCTGCTGCCCTTCCCTTCCTGCTCCCATTCCTGCTCTCCATGATGCTCCCCTTGCTGCCCTCCTTGCTGTCTTTGCTGTTTTATTATTCAGGTGGCCGTTTATTTTGAAATACTGCAAAATTGTTCTCTCAAATGTCACAGCCTGTCCCTGCTCCTGACCTTACTCCTGCCCTTGTTCCTGACCGTACTCCTGTCTCTGTTCCTAGCCCTGCTCCTGTTCTTGCTGTTTATATGATCATTTCCTTTGAAATATTGCTGTGGCACGGATTGGTGCCAGGCTGCTCCCTTTGCTGGTTGTGGGTGCAAGCACTGCTGACGCTGTGGAGCAAGGTTACGCCAGGCGAGACTCGCATGGATATCAGTGACGACTACCTCACCGACAATGCCCTCTCTCAACTCACCTCCATGCGCTCTCTCACATCACTCAACCTTGCTGAATCCTCCGGCTTCACTGCAGAGGGGGTGACGCAGCTCTTGTCAAATGATATATATGCTATATATGCTTAGGCTGTAGTGGGGTAGCCAATATGGGGTACACCCCCTTTTAGGGTTTCATATTTGTACCCATCTCTTTCATAGTTCATTCATTCCTGCTGCTAGATTCTAACATGGTTTCGGAGCACTAGGTCCGTAGGACCGTTTTTTTTTCGGGCCCACCTACCGTTGCGGTTACCACGATACCCCACGTGTTGTCCTGTGCCTGCCTGCCTTGCCTCGTGACGTGCTAGGCTGCGCGCGCTGTCCTGCAGCCCTCGCGCTGCCTCCTGCTGCCCTAGGCCAGTGCGCCGTCCCTGCAGGCTAGTAAGGCCCACGAGCCGCCCCTACAGGCCCGTCAGGCCCCCGAGCCGCCCCTGCAGGCCCGTCAGCCCCCCGAGCCGCCACCTGCAGGCCCGTCAGGCCCGCGAGCCGCCCCTGCAGGCCCGTCAGGCCGGCGCGCTGCCCCTGCAGGCCCTTGCCGCCCGCGCGCGGCCTCTGCCCGACTGCGCGCCGCCCCTACAGGCCCTCGCCGCCCGCGCGCAGCCTCTGCCCGACCGCGCGCCGCCCCTGCAGGCCCTCGCCACCCGCGCGCAGCCTCTGCCGGACCGCGCGCCGCCCCTGCAGGCCCTCGCCGCCTGCGCGCAGCCTCTACAGGCCCGTCAGGCCAGAGCGCGGCCCCGCCAGGTCGCTGTCGCGGCCCCGTCAGGCCGCGGTCGCGGCCAAGCCTTGCTGCTGACGCGGCCCCAACCTGCCGAGGTCGCGGCCCCGCCCTGTCGCCGACGCGGTCTCGCCAGGTTGCCGTCGCGGCTCCGTCAGGCCGCGGTCGCGGCCCGCCCTGCCTCTGCTGCGGCGGCTCCCTGCTGCTGACGCGGCCCCGCCAGCCCTGCAGCTGACGCGGCCGCGCCCTGCCGCCGACGCGGCCCCGCCCGGACGCCGACGTGGCCCCGCCAGCCCTGCAGTTGCCGCGGCCCCAACCTGCCGCTGGTGCGACCCCGCCCTGCTGCTGCCCCGGCCGCGCCCTGCCGCCGACGCGGCCCCGCCTGGACGCTGACGCGGCCCCGACCTACTGCTGGCGCGACCCCGCCCTACAGCTGCCGCGGCCCTACTCTGCAGCCGCTGTTGCGGCCCTGCCAAGCGCCGGCCCTGCCTGCCACTGGTGAGCACCTGCCTTGTTCGTGCACTGCCGCCTGCCTGCCTGCCCGCCTGCCTGCCTGCCTGCCTGCCGGGCCTGCCCTGCACGCTCTGCTGCTGCTACTACTGCTATTGCTACTGCTACTGCTACTGCTGCTACTGGCGGTGGCCAGATGCAGCTCCAGCGACGTCCGCGTGAGTCCCTCATGCCCCAGCAGCTTCGTGAGTGGTACGCTAGTTGGGGTTGTAGGGGTGGCCACGCTGCTACTGCTGCTACTGTTACTACTGTTGTTGCTGCTGCTACTGCTGTTACTGCTGCTACTGCTGCTACTACTGCTACTGCTGCTACTGGCGGTGGCCAGATGCAGCTCCAGCGACGTCCGCGCGAGTCTCTCACGCCCCAGCAGCTTCGTGAGTGGTACGCTCAGAGTAGAGGGTCTCTGAGTATCGTTCGCTGCCCGTACGTCATTCGCACTGGTGCTCGGACTGGTCAGGCTTGCGGGACGCTTAGTCACACACAGTCCCGCTGCTTTGCCCGTCTGAGCGACGCCTGGCGTACCGAGTTTGGCGACGAGGCTGAGCTCCCCGACGGGGTGGAGCTACTTGGGCAGAGGGTAGATATATTTGCTCTTGACTATGATGCTATTCTCACTGCCATGTATGCATTGCCTACTAGTGCTGACCGTGCCTGTTACCTGTGCGTACCGCCTGACCCAGGTATAGAGCCTGCTGCTCTCGGTGCTCCCCATGTAGACCCCCTCCCCGCTCCCGTTCCTGCTCCTTCAGGTGTGTCTCAGGTAGACCCTCCTCCCTTGACTGCGCCGGTTGAGGTCATGATGACTCAGGTCCTGCTGAGGGTGGTCCTGCTCAGGGTGCTGCTTCTGGGGGTGCTGAGCCTAGGGGTGCGGAGCCTGGGGGTGCTGAGCCTGGGGGTGCGGAGACTGGAGGTGCTGAGCCTGGGCGTGAGGACCCCTGCTCGCTGCCCCAAAGCCGATGTGACATGCTTCACCGGTGACGGCTCGAGTTCGGTGAGCAAGTCCGGGCGAGGTGTCATGCTATAGGTAGCGCCACTATCAATCACCCAATAGTCCAGGGGGTGTAGGGTCACCTTCCCCACAGCTGCTGGCTCCTCAAAGCCTTCATCCTTCTCTGGACCAGCTGGTACTTGCGTCGACTCGAAGTAGAATAGACCCGGGTACCGATCGTCGCTCGGGTCCTTGTCGTTGTCTCCGCTCTTCATGTTTGCAGCTCCGCCACCACGGCCGCCACGGCCTCCACGGCCTCCACGGCCTCTTCCTCTCCCTCCACCTGCTCCTCTACCCTCTTGGTCTTGAGCAGGGGTCCAACCATTAGGGAGCTTGGTTGGGGTCCTGGGGGTGCTGAGCCTGGGGGTACTGAGTCTGGGGGTGCTGCACCTGGGGGCGCTGGAGCGTCTGGTGAGCAGTCTCCCTGGAGCGGCCGTCTCCGTAGTCGCTCCGCTGGTGCCTCGCCGCTGCACTCTCGTCTCCGCCTCCCTCTCTCCCCACAGCACCTGCGCGAGTGGTACGTTGGCCGTCAGGGTCGCGCTGCTGGAGCTAGGGGCCCTGCTGTGGGAGGCGCTGGAGCTGGTGACTCTGCTACTGGAGTTGTTTCTGCTGGAGGTTCTGGAGCTGCTGAGGGTGCTGGCGCTGGAGGTTCTGGAGCTGCTGCGGGTGCTAGCGCTGGAGTTTCTAAAGCTGCTGCGGGTGCTGGAGCTGGAGGTTCTGGAGCTGCTGCGGGTGCTGGCGCTGGAGGTTCTAGAGCTGCTGCGGGTGCTGGAGCTGGAGGTTCTGGAGCTGCTGAGGGTGCTGGCGCTGGAGGTTCTGGAGCTGCTGCGGGTGCTGGCGCTGAGGGTTCTGAGTCTGCTGTTGCGCGGTCTCCCTGGAGTAGCTGCCTTCGTCCGCGTGTGCCTCTCACCTCACAGCAGCTGCACGACTGGTACGGTCGCCGTCAGGGTCGCGCTTCTGGAGCTCGGGGCTCTGCCGCTGGAGGTACTTCTGCTAACGTCACTGGAGCTGGGAGTGGTGCTGGTTCCGGGGGTGCTCGTACTGGAGGTACTAGAGCTGCTGGGACTGGAGGTGCCGGTTCTGGGGGTGCTGCTGCTGGTGGAGCTGGTCTTGGAGGAGCTGGCGCTGAGGGTTCTGGAGCTGCTGGAGGTGCTGGAGCTGCTGGGGGTGCTGGAGCTACTGGTGCTGGTGGCACTGCGCAGCCGCGCCTGTTCTTTGCTCCACCGTCTCCGTCGTCTCAGCCACCGTCTGACTCTGTGCTTTGCCAGGTTCTTAGTCTCCCTTCGTCTACTGGTCTTCCGTTACAGCCTGGCTCACCGCTGTCTGCTCCTTCTCCTTACACTGAGCAGACATGGGGTTTTACTGAGCGTCGTGAGCCTGCATCGCGTCCTGTCTCGCCTGTCCGTTCTGGTAGTTCCGGTCGTCCTGTTCCTCGTTCGTGTCAGCCGGCTGTCCCCGGCACCCACCTCGTAGTTCGTCGTCCTTCCTCTCCTCCGCAGCGTGTTCCCCTGCCGTCCCCTCCTGCATCTTCTCTGCCTACCGTTCCTGAGCCTGAGTCTGACTGCACCCGTGCTGCTCACCCTACTGTCACGCGTCTGCTAGCCACAGTTCTCACTGACCCGTCGTTTGAGTATGCTGCTGCGCCTGCCTTTGTTGCTGAGCTTGTTGACTTTGCTGCTGCCTGTCGTCTAGACTACGCCGCTAGTCTTGTTACTGAGTCTGAGTCTGTCTGTCCTCCGTCCGTCGGGGGTGAGTGTGCTCTTGGCACGTACATCCTTGAGGACAGGCAGGAGGACCTTGAGTGTCTTGTAGCCGCTACGCCTCATCTCGTGTCCATGCTGCTTGCCCCTGAGGGAGACCCGGATGCTCCAGACATCCCGACCCCGCGCTCTTACGCTGAGGCGATCGCGGGTGAGTACTCCTCTCAGTGGCAGACAGCCATGGACGCAGAGATGGCATCCTGGAAGTCCACAGGCACCTACGACGACGAGGTTCCCCTGCCTGGGGCGAACATCGTCAGTGGCATGTAGATTTTCAGGGTGAAGTGGCCGCCAGGTTCTCCGCCTGTCTTCAAGGCTCGTTACGTTGCACGAGGTTTCATTCAGCGAGAGGGAGTTTACTTCTTCCAGACCTTCTCCCCCACCCCGAAGATGACCATTCTTCGGGTACTGCTGCACGTTGCCACTCAGCGTGACTACGAGCTTCACTCTCTTGACTTCAGCACAACTTTCCTACAGGGCAGCCTGCACGAGGAGATCTGGCTGCGCCGCCCTCCTGGCTTCACTGGGTCGTTCCCTCCTGGTACCCTGTGGAGCCTCCGGCGGCCAGTCTACGGTCTCCACCAAGCGCCACGTGAGTGGCACGACACACTGAGGACGACACTTGCGGCTCTTGGGTTCGCGTCTTCTACTGCTGACCCGTCGCTGTTTCTGCGCACCGACACTTCGCTGCCGCCATTCTACATCCTCGTGTACGTCGACGACTTCGTCGTTGCCACTGCTGACACTGAGGCTCTCGCCCTGGTGAAGTCGGAGCTGCAGAAGAGACACACGTGCACAGACTTGGGTGAGCTGCGCAGTTACCTTGGCTTGCAGATCACCCGGGACAGAGCACGCCGCACCATCACACTGACTCAGTCACACATGGTGCAGCAGGTCCTTCAGCGCTTCGGCTTCACCTGGTCCTCGCCACAGCACACTCCTCTGGCTACAGGTCACTCGCTCTCAGCTCCACCTTCGGACGAGTCCGTGGAGCCGAGTGGTCCTTACCCAGAGCTAGTGGGCTGCCTCATGTACCTGATGACCTGCACTCATTCTGACCTTGCGTACCCTCTTGGCCTTCTCGCTCGCTACGTGGCTCCTGGTAGGCACCGACTAGAGCACATGGCTGCTGCTAAGAGGGTACTGCGCTACTTGTGCAGTACATCGGGCATGGGGCTCGTGCTTGGAGGGCGGAGCTCAGTTGTCCTCACTGGGCACTCGGACGCTTCTTGGGTTGACGACCTGGCTACACAGCGGTCGTCACAGGGTTACACCTTCAGCCTTGGCTCTGGCTCTGTTTCTTGGCGGTCTACACGCTCGTCTTCTGTTCTCGGCTCCAGTTGTGAGGCTGAGATCTACGCCACAGCCATGGCTGCACAGGAGCTACGCTGGCTCACCTACCTGCTGACCGACTTGGGAGAGCGGCCTCGTTCTCCTCCAGTGCTGTACGTAGACAACAAGGCCGCCATTGCCTTGTGTCAGGAGCACAGACTGGAGCACAGAACGAAGCACATCGCTCTGCGTTACTTCCTGGCTCAAAAGTTGCAGCAGCGAGGTCAGCTTCGTCTTGCTCACGTGGCCACTCGGGCCAACACTGCTGATATATTCACCAAGGCACTTCCGTCTGGTGATCATCAGCGTTTCTGCACTTTGTTAGGCCTTGTGCCCACTTTTCCTCACTTGCTGTAGACTTTGTTTGTACTGTGATCTATATATATACTTGCATGCTTGCTCTGCTAGGTAGAGATCACTGTGCTGCTGTTGTTGCATATATACCTCTGCATGTGAACTCGCCTTGTGGCCCTTTGCTTGTGCTCAGTGTGTGTGGTGACGTTGTGATCCACCCTGAGCTTGCTTTGCTTCTCTTGACTGGTCTTGTGACCCCTTGCTCTCCCCCACTTTGCCTATGGGGGTGTGTCAAATGATATATATGCTATATATGCTTAGGCTGTAGTGGGGTAGCCAATATAGGGTACACCCCCTTTTAGGGTTTCATATTTGTACCCATCTCTTTCATAGTTCATTAATTCCTGCTGCTAGATTCTAACAGCTCTTCTCTCTCGCAAGTCTCACGTACCTAAATATGGAGGAGACAAATGCAACTGACGCTTCTCTTGAAGGTATCAGCAGCCTGAAGCATCTTAACTCACTTTATCTTGGTAAGACCAAGATAACCGATGCAGGGGTAGCGAAGCTGCGGGGGGTGACTGCACTTGTGAAACTCGGCTTAAATGACTGTGAGTCAGTCACCTCGGCGAGCATGGTGCATGTGGGGAAGCTGACATCACTGGAGACTCTCTGGCTGGATGACAGTGGAGTGAGGGAGGACGGGCTGAAGCAGCTGACGACTCTCACCTCCCTGAAATTCTTCAGCTTGCCTCCGGGCGTGACCGATTCCAGCATGAAGCACCTGAGGAACATGACACGCCTGGAGAAGTTGGGGCTGTGGGACAGGGCTCAGGTTTGGTTTTTACCTACTCACGATTAGCAGTGTAGACATTTTCAAAACCCTTCTGAGCAGTGTGTCTTTTTTGGTAACACTGATGGATCAGTGTAACTTGAAGTTTTGAAAACTTTACCCAGAGGCATCAGTGTAGGTATATTTTTTACCCTGATTGTACGATAGGTGCTAGCAGCAACCAATCTCGAGGCCCAAATTGCGCAAAATTACTAATCCTGGTGTGGAGTCTTGCTTGGTCAAGGCGGTTAGATTCGGCTTGGGTCAGGGGCGTATACGCAGCGTGCCGCTGAAGTGAGCCGATGGTGTATTCCAGATGTGCAACTGTGCCATCGACGCGGCGCCTCTCCTGGTTGGAGAAACGTTTGAGGTTAAGGGTGAGGTCGAGCTTCCATGAGTCCCAGGAGTCTTGGGAAGGGGTGCTTGGGAAGATTGCGAGGCAGGAGTCGATGATTTGAGAGACATGAGGGCGCATAAGTAGATGCTGTCGGAGGCGCCAAGGTCGGGGGGCAACTGTGGGGTTGATGAAGCTGAGCGAGCAGAGAGGGGCGTAGAGGTGGTCCGTGATTGCCGTGCGGGTCTGGATGTACGGACTTGTAGTGAGGCGGGGGATGAAAGCTCGAGAGATGTAAGGTGGGCACTGGTGGGTGGGGGTTGTTGTGAAAGTCGAGCGCAGTGGCTTGTCTGGTTTCGCTGCAACACTTGTTTTTTTCGCCGAGTCAGCAAGCTTCCCGGGGGAAACATGTGTTTGGGGACCTCGATCGAGTCCCAAATTTCGGAGTTGAGGGAGTTGAAGTTTTGCAGTGAGTGCAGCTTCGACCAATCAGGTTGCAGTTTTTGCTTCGGGTAGGTTGCAAGCAGACACGGAGTGACGCGGTGTCGGTCGTCAGTACACACGTGCTGCCGTCGTAGTGCATCATTACGAAATTGGGTGTACCGTTATGAAATTTCGGAGAACCTTCATCTCGATAGGTAGAGTTTCCGAAGGGGGGGGGGGGGGGGGGGGGGGGGGTGGTTCCCTGTACGCTCTTCAGGGTAATCTTCGCTAACGGAAATTTTACCCCAGAGCATCAGTGTGGCCTAAATCATTACACTGACATATCAGTGTAACACTAATCCCCCAAAAAATTACCCCAGCCCATCAGTGTTGACTGAAAATTCCACCCTTCTTATCAGTATAGAAGGGTAAATTACACTGCAAACCTGAGCCCTGCTGTGGGATGCCAAAATTACTGCTAAGGGTGTCAACTGGCTGAAGGGGCTGAATAGCCTGAAGAGGATTGGGACAGAAGCTGAAGAGGTAGAAGGGCTGATTAGGGATGGCCTTCCTGGAATGATTGTCACAGATACCGTAGTGCAACCCTGGAATGATAGACACAGATAGCACAATCTGATTTTCCTAATGCCCAGTGCGTAATGCAGTGTACAATATTGGTGAAATAGAAATGTCGCATGCTACTGGAGCTGTGTCCATCAACAATTACTGCAACTGCATGCTATGCAATCTACCGTACAATGTACGCAGCGCAGTGCACTTAGACAAATGATGTCCTACCTCATTTACTTGCTGTCTTTTGTAGTAATAAAAACTTGAGGAGCACTTACGCCAATGCTTGTAACAATTCTGAGCATATTTTGGGGCTCTTCTCAGCCCAACACCCCCCCACCCCTCCATCCCTAGCCTAGCCCCCTTTGCTATGCTATGCCGCACATGAGAGAAAAGCCACCTCATCCTTCATGCAGCAGTGGTGGTGCGTGCGAAGCAGCGGCAGCACAAAGCCCTGCAGCTCCGCTAGCTCTGCCAGCGCATGCGCCTCCGCCCCCACCACCTGCGCTGGGATGTGGAACAGGGAGGGGAGAGGGGGGTGAAAGGAGGGGAGCGTTGGTGGGGTTCATAGTGGGCTCCCACCACCTGCGCCAGCATGTGGAACTGCAGCCGCAGACTGCACAGCACGCGAAAGCGGCAGGCAGAAAAGGCAGACTGCACAACACAACTAAAAAACACATCCTGCTGCAGTCGAAGAACACCGCCCTTCAGCACGTACCCCCTGCTGCAGTTTGGTTGTGGCAGCGATGTGCTGCGCTCTAAGGTCGAGCACCATGTGCAGGATGGGGATGAGGCACGTGCTGTAGCGCGGGTTGGGTACCAGCCTGCAACACCGGGGTGCATGCATGGGGGTGTTGAGGGGTAGTGAGAGGCGGGAAGGGAAGAGAAGTGAGCCTAGTGATAGACATAGATGGGTTGGGATGAGGAGAATGGTTTTAGGAAGGAAATATACACCGAGCAGGGTGTGGAGGGTAGGGATGGGAGATGAAAGGGTGGGGAGGTGTGACTGTGACGGGGGGGTCGCGGGTTACTGCAGGGGTGTATACGTGGTGGTGTGACTGTGTAGGAGAATGCAAAGAGGTGGAGGCAGGTGGGCGGGATGCAATGGCAGAGGGAACTTGCCAAGCACACAACAAGAATGGGTAGAGAGGCACTGCAAGCGCATGCAAGCAGGGAGGGTTGATGCAAGCAGGGAGGTGCGATGCAAGCAGGGAGGGGCGATGCAAGCAGGGAGGTGCGATGCAAGCAGGGAGGTGCGATGCAAGCAGGGAGGTGCGATGCAAGCAGGGAGGGGCGATGCAAGCAGGGAGGTGCGATGCAAGCAGGGAGGTGCGATGCAAGCAGGGAGGTGTGATGCAAGCAGGGAGGTGCGATGCAAGCAGGGAGGGGCGATGCAAGCAGGGAGGTGCGATGCAAGCAGGGAGGGGCGATGCAAGCAGGGAGGGGCGATGCAAGCAGGGAGAGGCGATGCAAGCAGGGAGGGGCGATGCAAGCAGGGAGGGGCGATGCAAGCAGGGAGGTGCGATGCAAGCAGGGAGGTGCGATGCAAGCAGGGAGGTGCGATGCAAGCAGGGAGGTGCGATGCAAGCAGGGAGGTGCGATGCAAGCAGGGAGGGGCGATGCAAGCAGGGAGGTGCGATGCAAGCAGGGAGGGGCGATGCAAGGAGGGAGGGGCGATGCAAGCAGGGAGGTGCGATGCAAGCAGGGAGGTGTGATGCAAGCAGGGAGGTGCGATGCAAGCAGGGAGGGGCGATGCAAGCAGGGAGGTGCGATGCAAGCAGGGAGGGGCGATGCAAGCAGGGAGGTGCGATGCAAGCAGGGAGGGGCGATGCAAGCAGGGGGGTTACTTTCGGCAGAACTGCAGGAAGCGGCTGAGCGACTTGACTGGCAGCACGGCAATGGCATTGGCCAGCACGTTGCGCGCTACCATCTCCTCCAACACCGCTATTAACATCTGGGGGGGGGGGGGGCAGGGAGGGCGGGTGGGTGGGGGTTGGAGCTATCATCTCCTCCAACACCGCTACCAGCATCTGGGGGGGGGAGAGGGGTGGACGAGGAGGAGGGAAGGACGGGTGGTTGGGGGTTGCGAGCTAACGAATCCTCCACCAGCATCTGCAGGGGGGCCGAGGGGCGAGGTAAGGGGGAAAGCAAGCTATTCACGAAGGGAGTTGCGGGGAGATGGCACAGCATCTCCTTGCTAGTAGCGAGGAGCACTGATATCGAAAGGGGGAGCAGGGCGCAAGAGGAGAGAAAGGAAGCAAGGGAAAGTGGGAAACAACAGCAAGGAGAGATTGAAGAAGGGGGAAACAGAACGAGGAGAACGACAAGGGAGGGGTATAAAAGGTGAAAGGCAATAAGACAAGTGTACTGCATGGTGGTTCAGCCGTTGAGGCTCCTTACACTTAGGCAGTCCACCACCATGTGGGGCGCTGCCACATGCTGACCATGTCTTGCTCGGCGGCTGCTGCCCTGCTGCCATGCGAGGCCTCATGGAGCATGCCGCCCGTGTTACTCTGCTGTGGATGCCACACACACACTTGCCTCCCTTCAATCTCCATGCTCTAACTCTCCTGTCAAATGCATGCGCTTGCGCTGCGCCACCAGATAGGTGTGTGCGTCGGCCTGATGCACACACGGGGTGGTTGCAGGGATGGGGATCGAGAAGGAGATGGAGGAGGGGAGTGGGTGGGATGTGGTGGTGGTTTTAGAGGGAAGGAAGCGGACGGGACAGGGGGGTGATGGGTGGAACAGGAAAGCGAGGATGGGGTGATTAAAGCATGCACGGACAAGAGGGGGGGGTTGGGAGTAGCGGTGCAGGACGTTACGAGTGGAGAGTGGAGGGGCGGATTAATGTGGGAAGCGCTACGAGTGGAGAGTGGAGGCAAGACGTAGAGAAACGAGAGCATGCGATGTGCAGCAGGAGCAGGAGCGGAAGCGGGAGTGGGAGTGGCATGGGGAAGACGATGGGGAAGAGGATGGGGAAGAGGATGGGGAAGAGGATGGGGAAGAGGATGGGGAGAGGATGGGGTGGGGAAGAGGATGGGGAGAGGATGGGGTGGGGAAGAGGATGGGGAAGAGGATGGGGAGAGGATGGGGTGGGGAAGAGGATGGGGAGAGGATGGGGTGGGGAAGAGGATGGGGAAGAGGATGGGGAGAGGATGGGGTGGGGAAGAGGATGGGGAGAGGATGGGGTGGGGAAGAGGATGGGGAAGAGGATGGGGAGAGGATGGGGTGGGGAAGAGGATGGGGAGAGGATGACGGCTGGGTACGACTATGGACAGAAGGTACGGTGATGGGTGTAACAAATCATGGTTGTTTTGGGAATGGAAGGCAGGGAAGGAGGGCGAACAGGGACAAATTGGTCGGAAATGGGAGAGAACGAGAGGCAACACGGAGGGCTGGGCAGTTGAAAGCAATGTGTGTGTGTGTCGGTGGGTGGGTGGGCCGGTTGGTGCATCTGCAAGTGAGCATGGGCGTGCATGTGAGCGTGCATGCTTACTCTGTATGGCCGTTAGTAGTCTCATCACTGTGCCAGTCGTGGCGTTGAACACCTGTACGGAGAGGAGGATAGAGTAGGGGGAGGAGGACGGATGGGGAAAGAGGAGCGGGGAAGGGGGAAAAGGAGGAGGGGGAAGAATGGTGGGTGAAGGAACCAGACAGCGGGGTGAAAATAGCGCTGGGGGGTTTGAATGAAGGGAGAACCTCAATATGTCACTCGCAAGGAGCATATGGTCGAGAAGAGTAGGGACACAGCGAGGTGGGAGAGGCATGGTGCGTGCATGAGGCACATGAGGCGGGGAGGGGACAGAACAGTCGACGCCAGGGTCCGGAGAACAGCAGCAGGTAGGGAAAACCAAGGCGATTCACTCACGGGTACAGTGCAGCAGGCAGGCAGGGCACGTGCCGGTAGGAGGAGATTGCAGGGTAGGTGCGCATGCAGACACGAACATGCCCTCGCCCATCTCACACTCTCCGTTCCCCTCAGCTCCCCATGGAGTTGCCACTGCCTCTGCCCCACAGCCCCCCTCACCCCCAATTTGCCCCCTCCTTGCCGCTTTGCGTCCCACTTTCCCCGCCCCATGACAGCCCACTGTGCCCGGCCTGTGTTCCCCCCAGAGCAGTGCGCGCCTGACTGACTGACCTGCACGATGCCTCTGTGCCCCCCGCCACCAGCAGCTTGCCCCGCCTGGGCACCACGCGCGCGGCAAGGGAGGGAGGGGAGGGGAGGGGAGGGGAGGGGAGGGGAGGGGAGGAGGGGGTGAGGGGAGGGCAAGGGCAAAAGCGGACGGGAGAGGGGCGCGGGAGGGGAGGATACGGGAGGGGAGTGGAAAGGAGAGGGGGGGACTGGAGGGAAGGGAAAGGGAGCGTCGAAGACTGGAGAACGAGGGAGGAGGGGAGGAGGGGAGGAGGGGAGGAGGGCGGGCGGGAGAGAAGGATCAGGTGTGGAAGCGCGACGAAGGGGAGTGATTGCAAACGGGAGAGCAGTGTGAGTACGTGACAAGCGCTCGCAAGGATAAGCTTTGGACGACTGAACGATGAGGAGGGGCGAAAGAAGGCGGCCAGGCCAGACACGGATGGGATTGGGGATCCTGAATGGGAAAGGGAGGGGCCTCACAAATCCTCTGAAGCGAGAAAAGGATCTAAGCAGTTCCCTGGTGACGCCACTGTACTCCGTCACCTGCCTGCCTGCCATGGGGTTCGTGGAATCGGAGGGGGAATGGAATTGCACGTACGCGCACAGGTCGAAACTGAGAAGAAAACAGGTCGCACGGCGTCTGAGAGTAGCGGCGAAGTGGTAGGGTCAGTGGGGCGAGGGTGGCGCACGCGGGTGGAGTGGGTGGCGGCGAAGTGGAAGGGCGCGGAGGGGCAGAAGTCGATGGTCGTCGCGTTGCCGATCAGCGGCTCCGCCGCTTTCCTCCGAAAGCTGCGCCAAATCCCCGCTTCCGCCGTCTCCGCGGGCGCGGCTGTGCATAACGCTTGGCATGACTTTGAGAAAATCGCCCACCACCTGCTGGTCGCCCATGGTCGCGCGAGGCCTAAGGTTGGAGTTTTAGACAGATTATCGAGTCTGCGAGCGAGTCGAGTCACCGGACAACGACTGATCAGCGGCGAGGCGCGTGCAGTGATACGCGCAGGGAAGTGACGAACGCGAGTGAGGTATGAATTGGTGCGAAGCGGAAGCCACGTGCACAGGTGCAGGGCTGACCTTGATGTTAGTGAAGGCCGACAAGCACAACGGAATGAAATGGAACCGTCTTCCGCAGATCGACACTTGAAAACATTTTTGAACATCGTCACCTAAAAGCATCATCACCTACTCCATGCTGACTCTTGACACGATGTTTCTGGCAGAGACACGATAGATTTGGCACAAACACGATGTTTTCGGCACAGACACGATGTTTTTGGTAGGGAAACGATTTTGGGCACAACTACGACGTTTTTGGCACAACCTAGATCGAGAACTAGCTGATCGACTCGGGGGAAGGTGTCGTGTTGCGATTGGTTGTTTCAGATCGAGACGCTGGAAGGCGGGATGAAGATGAAGCATGGAATTACAGGATTGGTCGAAAGTTTCCACGCCGTGAAAATACGCCAAACTGGAGGGATGACAGAGCGGATAGGTTGAGACGACATGTGGTTGGAAAAGATCAGCCGGGGAAAGAGACGATTACAGCGAGAAGTACACTCAGCAGGTTTGTTGTTCAATTGACGTGGAAAGCACATCTGGATTGTATTACGAAATCACTGTTACAGACTTGTCTTTCTGTTGGTAGTGATGTGATAGTCGGGCTAAGCTCAACGCACATAGGGCGCAAACCAGTCGATGAAATGGCATGGCGAGATTGGCTCGCCTGGAACACGCGGGAAAGAGTTGCCTCGGCCGCGCGCGCCTGGCTCGGGGTCAATTGGCAAAGCAGACCAGTAGTTTCGTCAATTCAACTAGCGCGGTTGGCGGCTGTCCCTTCATGTCCCCGCTTTACCTCAACCCTTCCTGTCCCCGTACGACGACACCCTTGGACGTTCGTTGTGGTGGACGTTTCACCCCACCTTCAGATTTTCTGTCCTGGAGATTGGTTGTCGCAATACGTTGAAGCCGTGAGTTCGGCAGTACTAGCATTTTAAAAGACAGCATTTCAGACAGCATTCCAGCGCAAACGGCATGACTCTGAAAGAGGAGATGGCGGGCGGCGACGGGGAGCGCGTGGCGGCGTTGGAGGCACAGCTGAAAGAGCAGGGCGACGCCGTGGCTGCCATGCAGCGCGACATGGCGGAAATGCGCCGCGCCATGGCGGCGGAGATGGAGTCCACAAAGGGGCGCATCAACGACTTGGAGGCGGAACTCGCGGCGCTCAAGGACGGGCGCGCGAAGAAGATCCGCGCCGAGCGCAATAAGATCCGCGCCGAGCGCAATAAGATCCTCTCCTTGCTCCTCTCCTTGCTCCTCTTCTTGCTCATCTCCTTGCTCCTCTCCTTGCTCCTCTCCTTGCTCCTCTCCTTGCTCCTCTCCTTGCTCCTCTCCTTGCTCCTCTCCTTGCTCCTCTCCTTGCTCCTCTCCTTGCTCCTCCCCTTGCTCCTCCCCTTGCTCCTCCCCCTTGCCGCTCCCCTTGCCGCTCCCTTTGCTGCTCCCCTTGCTTCTCCCCTTGCTTCTCCCCTTTCTGCTCCCTTTGCTGCTCCCTTTGCTGCTCCCTTTGCTGCCCCCTTTTCTGCCCCCTTTGCTGCTTCCTTTGCTGGGCCCCTTGCTGCTCTTGCTGCTCCAGCTCTCCATGCTGTGTCCGACGCTGATGCCAATCTTTCTCTCACACTTCACAGCCTGTTTGTTTTATTTTGCCGCTGCTCGTGGCTGCAGGCACTCTTGACCCTGTGGGGCAAGGTTGCACCGGGCGAGACTCGCATGGACCTCAGCAGCATCCACCTCTCCGTCACTGCTCTCACTCGAGCCACCGCCCTGCGCTCTCTCACGTGGCTCAGCCTTCGAGAGTCCTCCGGGTTCACTGCAGAGGGGGTGACACAGCTCTACTCCCTCAGAGGTCTCACACATCTGGATCTGGAGGAAACAGATGCAACGGATGCTTCTCTTGAAGGTATTAGCAGGCTTAAGGACCTTAGCACACTTTATCTTGGTAACACCAAGATAACCGATGCAGGAATAGCGAAGCTGCGGGGGTTGCCTGCACTCATGGCACTGAGCTTAGATGGCTGTGAGTCGGTCACATCTGTCAGCATGGTGCACGTGGGAAAACTGACCTCACTGAAGTCTCTCTGGCTGGATGACAGTGCAGTGGGGGAGGGCGGGCTGAAGCATCTGACTTCCCTCGCCTCCCTCAAGTTCTTCAGCTTGCCTTCAGGGGTGACCGATGCCACTTTAAAGCTCCTGAGGAACATGAAGCGCCTGGAGAAGCTGGGGCTGTGGGAGGCCAAAATTACTGCTGACGGTCTCAAGTGGCTCAATGGGCTGAAGAGCCTGCAGGTGATTGCAACGGAAACTGAGAATGTAGAAAGCTTAGTTAGAGACAGCTTCCCCGAAATGGTTGTTACAGACAGTCTAACCTGAATTCCAATGTTCAATGCAGGGCCTCAGATTCGTTTTGGTGTAGGCTGACTGGTCAACCTTAGGAGTGTGTTCATGGCTGATCTGTCAGTGTTGTTGTTTAAAAAAAAACTGACTTTTCAGGGTGTATATTAAAAAAAAAACTGAACGATCAGCGTCACTATTTGGTGAAGACTGAACCATTTCAAACAAGTTCTGCATTGATATAACAAACGTTTACAGGAAATCTAATTAAACATATCCTCATCCTCTTCATCATCATCACCCTCTTCACTATCACTAGAGCCTAAAGAGAGCGCCGCGGCCAGCGACGACCGCCGCCATGCTAGCTTCACGGGCAGACCGCGGCCCGTGAGGCACCATGGCGACGGGGGAAAGAGACAATCGGCGAGGCGAGGGGAAGGCGAGGCTGCGCGACGAGGGGAATGCGGGACGACTGGAGGCTGCAGGGAACGACGCGGAAGTTTGGCTCTGCGAGGGGAAAGGAAAGGGAGCAGAAAAGAAATATCTCTATCCTAAATCGTACTTACCTATTGGGCATACTGGTGTGTTGCTGCCGCACTGATGGGCTGCAGAGGAGAGCTGCAGAGGGATGCGGGTGGAGAAAATACGGAGAGGAATACGGGAAGCACGAGGGAGTGAAAGCGGAATCGCGGTTCCCTCTATCCCTCGCAACTCCCTCTCCCACGCAGCTAACTATCTCCCTCGCAGCTCACTCTCTCCGTCTCAGCCTGATCAAACGGAAACGAGGGAACCAAATGCGGGGGGCGATGAGGAGTAACGAGAAACAAATGTCTGTAGATTCGTACCTACTAAGATGGCGTTGCTGCTGAGCTGAGCTCACGGGCTGAAAAGGAGTGGGTATTCCCGTCAAGGAATATGCACGAACGAGAAGTGCAGCTCACGGGCTCACGGATCATCGTACAGCGACGACCAGCTGCGACGCCAGCTTCGCTGGCGAACGCGGCCCGCACGGCGCCATGGCGACGGGGGGAAAGGGAAGCGTGGCGCAGCGAGGGGAAGGTGAGGCTGCGCGATGAGGGAATGACGCTAGGCGAGAAATACACCTGTAGAGTAGAAGAAGAACCACTTCTACTCTACAGGTGTCCAGTACAAGTGCCTTGCATCTCCAAGTGGAGGGACGAGAGGGAGGGGCTGCTGCGAGCGATGCAGGCGCCGAGAGTGGGGAGATGCTCAGAGCGAGAAAAGCGAAGGTGAAGGGAGTGAAGATCCAGGTGGGTGAGAAAGAAGCGGACGGTCTGCGACCAGTGGGGGTTTCATCTACAGTTGGTACAGGAAAGAAGAATCTCTACCGTATCCTTGAGCCAAGACACCTTCGCGAGAAGACAGCAGTGGAGTGAAAGTTCGTGAATGACCATTCCCGAATGCGTTGGCAAGGAATCTTGCCATTTCGGCGTGATTGACGGAGGGACGGTCGAACCGGTGTACCTAGACATCCGGACTTCAGGGCACCTACGCTAATCTCCATTACAGGGATTTCAGCCAACCCCTTCGTTACAACTCTGATGAGACAGCGTACACGACAGGAAAAAAGCTGATATTTCAACACATACAGATTTAAAAACCCTGAAATTTCAGCAAACACACTTAAAAAAAAGCTGCCACAACAGCCCCACTATTCTCCCACCACTGAAATCACAGCCTTTTTACCCCTAATCAGCCTTTTTTCGCTGACTTCTGAGGGCCTGGTTCAATGCCCCATGATTAGTACACCTTAGTATACAAATTAGGGTACATTCCGCGCTGGACATGTCCCAATCGAAAGTGTCTCAATCGTTTCTACCGCACTGCATCGTATTACACCGAATTGCACCCTAGTTTCGAAATTTTCGCGTCTCTGCTTTAGTTCGGTTCGGAGCGGTACACTCGATTGGGACACATCGATTGGGACAGTGTCCACAGCGGAATGTACCCTTAGACATGTGAGTTGTAGTAGCCATTTACTACTGCAAATGCCATGCAATTTCCAAAACACCCATCCAGATTCCAGATGAGGCCCTGACTAGCCATTGCTGTGTTGTGCAATATGAATTTGCAACAATTTCGATAGCATGAAGAATGATACGGTACTGTGATAGAGATTAGCATCGTTGGGTTTTTTTCTCAGCCCATCACACCACACCACCCCACCCCAGCCCAATTTTTAGCATCGTTGGGTATTGAACTATATTTATATATGTTCTTTATAATTGTATGCAGTGTAGAGTGTAGCACATCCCAATTTGCTGTAGGTGGTGCACCATGCTTCTCCTTGCTATATCTTGTACTCATCTTTCTTAGTGAAGCAACTTTTCCTCTTGCCAAAACTCTCTCGACATCTCTCTTCAACCCCAAAACCTAAGCTCCTAAGCCACTCTAGCCATGGCTCTTAAGCCCAACTAGCTTAGTATCTTGACATGGAATCAGAGCTGTTACGCTCTTGGCCTGTCAGCCCACATGCTTCCGCTGCTTTCGTGTCTGTCGCGCGCCCCGTGGCGCGCGACGCTTTTTTCTTCCCGCCACGCGCTCGGGGCGTGTGGCGGTTTTCTGCCCGCCGTACGCCCGGAGGCGCGTGGCGGCTTCCTGCTTCACGCGCCACCCCGGGGACCCGCGCGTCCCCCCCCTCGACGGTCGCGTCGCCCCCCGGGAGCCCGTCGCGTCGCCCCGCAACCCCCGCTATCCCGTCCCGGCGCCCTGGGAAGTCGCGCGCGGCCCCCGCTGCCTCGTCGCGACGCCCCTGCGGGACCCGCGCGGCGTCGCCCCTGCTCGTCGCGGCGCCCCCTGGACGCCGCCCCTGCTCGTCGCGGCGCCCCTGGGGCGTCGCCCCTGCTCGTCGCGGCGCCCCCTGGGCGCCGTCCCTGCTCGTCGCGGCGCACCCCCCCCTGGCCGCCGCCTCTGCCTCACCTGCGCCCGCGCCTGCTTTGCAGCAGCGCACGGGCCTGCCCTGCACCAGCGACGCCGCCCCTGGAGCAGCCGCCCCTCGACCCAGAGCAGCCGCCCCTGCAGCAGCCGCCCCTGGCCCCTGGAGCAGCCGCCACTGCAGCAGCCACCCCTGGCCCCTGGAGCAGCCGCCACTGCTGCAGCCGCCCCTGGCCCCTGGAGCAGCCGCCCCTGCAGCAACCGCCCCTGGCCCCTGGAGCAGCCGCCACTTCTGCAGCCGCCCCTGCCTCACCCGCGCCTGCCCTCGTGCAACCGCCCCTGCCTCGCCCGCGCCTGCCCTCGTGCAGCCGCCCCTGCCTCGCCCGCGCCTGCCCTCGTGTAGCCGCCCCTGCCTCGCCCGCGCCTGCCCTCGTGCAGCCGCCCCTGCATCACCCGCGCCTGCCCTCGTGCAGCCGCCCCTGCCTCACCTGCGCCTGCCCTCGAGCGGCCGCCCCCGCGTCTGCCCTCGTGCAGCCGCCCCTGCCTCACCTGCGCTTGCCCTCGTGCAGCCGCCCCTGCCTCGCCCGCGCCTGCCCTCGTGCAGCCGCCCTTGCCTCACCCGCGCCTGCCCTCGTGCAGCCGCCCCTGCCTCACCTGCGCCTGCCCTCGTGCAGCCGCCCTTGCCTCACCCGCGCCTGCCCTCGTGCAGCCGTGGGGGGGAGGGTATGGGGGTGGCGAATGTGGGGGTGATGAGTGTGGGTGCTACCCTTCCCCTCCTCCTCCTCCTTCTTCGCCTCCCACTGCTGCAGCTGCCGCTGAAGGGGGGTGGATGTGTGGGAGCCGAGGGGAGTGGAGCTAAGGGGGATTGGAGACAGGGGTGCAGCAAGGGGGTGTGTGAGAAGGGGGTGTGGGACTATTAGGGGAGGTAGAGCGGAGGTCGCCGTCATGTCGTCAGCAGCGCCAGTAGTCCGGAGCCCTCGAGCTCTCGGTAGCCCAGGGAGCCTGCTTCGCCAGTCGCCTGTGGGTCCGTTGCTCCTGCCGCTCGTCGTATTCGCGGAGCCAGATACTCCCGTATTCCGGTGCCCTCGTGCCCTCGGTAGGCACTGTGCGCGCCGCTCCTGTTGCCCGTGTGACTGCGGCTTCACCTGTTGCCTCCTATCTCCACTCCTCTCACAGTCCCTCCTCCTCCTCCTCACTTCGCCTCTTCTTCTGCTGCGCCCTGCAGGGTGTACCACTTCAGGGGGTGTTCTGTACATGGTTCTCACTGCAATCAATTAGGGGGTGTGTTGAACTATATTTATACCGTATTACCCCGGATAAAAGCGCAGGTGCGCTTATAATAAAACAGTGTTTTTTGGGGGGGTGCGCTTCTAATTGAGGTTTCTGTATACGCGCATGCGCCTCTAATAAGGAAAAAATGAAATTCACTTTTAAACATACTAAACTGAAGCCCGCAATAAGGCGAATCCAACGGACCATGCAACAAGTGGGATCGTGCATGGTTTTCAGGCAAAAACAGCTGCGGTTCGGTTTCCCACCGCACAAAGTTGTCTAGAACCATCGAACGTGACAGGAGTGACGGGGATGTTGCCGTGCGGCCCAATCACAGCCGCATGCGCTGCGTGGCATCTGCATTTCTTCCGAACCCTCTCGAAGGGTGGGGAAGATTCCCTGCCAGCGCAGCGAATATGCTGCCACGCAGGTTCCTCTACGGGGGTAGGCGGGGGTTTCCTGCCTGTCATTGACGAGGACCCCGAGCCGCTAGCCCGCAGGGGTCCCCGTCGTTGCCCATTTCTGCACCCTCCTCCTCATTTTTTTCATTCAGTTTCTAGTCTAGCCCGCCTGGCTGGCAAAGCCATGGCGGAATTCAGTGGGACGCACCTCCTTTTCAAGAAGAAACCGACCCGCGCCTGGCGACTAACCTCGGACGGGTGGTATACACGTGAGCCACCAGCGCCTCCAGTGCCACCTACACCCCCTGCACCGCCTGCTCCGCCTGCTCCTCCTGCACCTCCTGCTCCTCCTGCTCCTCCCGCTCCTCCGAATCCTCCGACTCCTCCTGTTCCTGACGCGTGGGGTCACCATCGGCCCGTGCTCCAGTTATATTTGCCTGCCACTTTCGACGAGTGGTTGTCTGAACCGGACACACCCAAGGCTAGGCAAATCAATGGTCCGCCGACTGCACCTCGGTGGGGAAATCCTGAAGCCTGCACGTGGGACGAGTCGGCTGTGGGCGCCGACGATGACGTGGCCGCCGATAAACAACCCACATGCGACGGCGATGCTGGAGGCGACGGTGGAGTCGACGGTGAAGAGGGCGCCGAGGAGGACGTGTTCCCAGATCGTAAAGCTACAGACGCGGACGACGACGGTGTGGAGTCTTGGTGGCGCGACGCACCACGCGAGAAGATGCCGATACCAACGTATCCGTCGATTAACAAAAAACGACCCCACCCCTCCTCTGAGAACCGAGATGCCCGCCCCCCCTCTCCCAGGCACAAGCCGACTCAACACAAACGGCAGCGCTACACCGCCCAGGAGAAACTGAAGTGGCTCGTTCGGCTGGAGCTTGCTGCATCGATAAGCGAGGTCGCGCGGGAGTCCGGCATACACCGCAAATGCCTCACAGAGTGGAAAAACCAAGCGGAGGAGCTCAAGGCTGCACACAGTGCTCGGTGTCGACTTCATGGGCGCGGAAGGTCTTCCTGGTACAGACCCATGGAGATGAAGGTGTACGCCCAACTCCTGGACTGGCGACGCCGCGGTGTGGCAGTATCAGTCGGCCGGCTGCAAGACTGGTCAAAAGAGGTGATGAAGGTGTTGTTCCCGGACGTCAAGTGGAAGGCGAGTCAGCGCTGGACGGAGCGGTTCCGCAAGCGGTGGAATCTCACCGTGCGCATGAAAACAAAGGTGGCGCAAAAGACACAGCAGCGTAAGTGCCTGTCCGTGCACTGTCATCGTATCGTGAAATTTTATCTTGTATTTCAGTACTTTCTTGCCCATGTTTGTTTATCTGTAGCGGTGCTCATCCGCCCTTGTAACCGTTCCTCCCTCCCCGTGCGCAGACGTGGCCAAGCAGTGCAAGGAATTTTGGCAGTTTGTCCGCGACGCACGCCACGACTACGACATCGACAATCGTTACATCATCAATGCCGACCAGACGCCTTTGTGGCTGGAGATGCCGGCGACTACCACGGTGGAGCAGACGGGCGTGAAGTCGGTGCCCATCCGCAGTGGTGGTTACCAGAAAGAGAGAGTCACTGTGATGCTGGCGTGCACGGCGACGGGCGAGAAGTTGAAGCCGTGGGTGTTTTTCAAGCGCAAGACCCTCCCAAAGGGTGACTTTCCGAACGGTAAGAAACTGCGTATGCGCGTGTTTCCGAGGGGAAAAACAAAAGTAAATGTCAGAATATGTTGTTTGTGTAGCCTGCAGTGGGGTACTCAATAGTGAGTACAGCCCCTTAGGGTTTGCTATTTGTATCCTGCTGCTTGCTAGTTCAAT